GCCAAGCATTAAGCCGATTACAATTTCACCTGTACCGAAGTGGGCCGATCGGAGTGGGGCAGTGGGCCGCGTCGAGTGGTCCGACCGGCCCACTTCGGTACCCCGGGGCTACCCGGCCCATCGGGATTCGTCCCGAACGTCCCGATGGCCAGTCCGCCCCTGGTAGAGACACTACATACTGATATACACCTGAACATCAGCAGGAGAGGACTCTTTAAAGTAGAGACACTACATACTGATATACACCTGAACATCAGCAGGAGAGTACTCTTTAAAGTAGAGACACTACATACTGATATACACCTGAACATCAGCAGGAGAGGACTCTTTAAAGTAGAGACACTACATACTGATATACACCTGAACATCAGCAGGAGAGGACTCTTTAAAGTAGGACACTACATACTGATATACACCTGAACATCAGCAGGAGAGGACTCTTTAAAGTAGAGACAACATACTGATATACACCTGAACATCAGCAGGAGAGGACTCTTTAAAGTAGAGACACTACATACTGATATACACCTGAACATCAGCAGGAGAGGACTCTTTAAAGTAGAGACACTACATACTGATATACACCTGAACATCAGCAGGAGAGGACTCTTTAAAGTAGAGCACTACATACTGATATTACACCTGAACATCAGCAGAGAGGACTCTTTAAAGTAGAGACACTACATACTGATATACACCTGAACATCAGCAGGAGAGGACTTTAAAGTAGAGAACTACATACTGATATACACCTGACATCAGCAGGAGAGGACTCTTTAAAGTAGAGACACTACATACTGATATACACCTGAACATCAGCAGGAGAGGACTCTTTAAAGTAGAGACACTACATACTGATATACACCTGAACATCAGCAGGAGAGGACTCTTTAAAGTAGAGACACTACATACTGATATACACCTGAACATCAGCAGGAGAGGACTCTTTAAAGTAGAGACACTACATAGCTGATATACACCTGAACATCAGCAGGAGAAGGACTCTTTAAAGTAGAGACACTACATACTGATATACACCTGAACATCAGCAGGAGAGGACTCTTTAAAGTAGAAGACACTACATACTGATATACACCTGAACATCAGCAGGAGAGGACTCTTTAAAGTAGAGACACTACATACTGAGTATACACCTGAACATCAGCAGGAGAGGACTCTTTAAAGTAGAGACACTACATACTGATATACACCTGAACATCAGCAGGAGAGGACTCTTTAAAGTAGAGACACTACATACTGATATACACCTGAACATCAGCAGGAGAGGACTCTTTAAAGTAGAGACACTACATACTGATATACACCTGAACATCAGCAGGAGAGGACTCTTTAAAGTAGAGACACTACATACTGATATACACCTGAACATCAGCAGGAGAGGACTCTTTAAAGTAGAGACACTACATACTGATATACACCTGAACATCAAGCAGGAGAGGACTCTTTAAAGTAGAGACACTACATACTGATATACACCTGAACATCAGCAGGAGAGGACTCTTTAAAGTAGAGACACTACATACTGATATACACCTGAACATCAGCAGGAGAGGACTCTTTAAAGTAGATACACATACGGATTACCCTGAACACATCAGCAGTAGAGACTACTACTGATATACACCTGAACATCAGCAGGAGAGGACTCTTAAAGTAGAGACACTACATACTGATATACACCCTGAACATCAGCAGGAGAGGACTCTTTAAAGTAGAGACACTACATACTGATATAACACCTGAACATCAGCAGGAGAGGACTCTTTAAAGTAGAGACACTACATACTGATATACACCTGATCATCAGCAAGGAGAGGACTCTTTAAAGTAGAGACACTACATACTGGAATATAACACCTGAACATCAGCAGGAGAGGACTCTTGAAAGTAGAGACACTACATAGCTGATATACACCTAACATCAGCAGGAGGAGAAGGCTCTTTAAAGTAGAGAACACTACATACTGATAATACACCCTGGAACATTCAAGCAGTGAGAGGAACTCTTTAAAGTAGAGACACTACATACTGATATACACCTGAACATCAGCAGGAGAGGAACTCTTTAAAAGGTAGAGACACTACATACTGATATACAACCTGAACATCAGCAGGAGAGGACTTCTTTAAAAGTAGGAGACAACTACATACTGATATAGCACCTGGAACAATCATCAGGAGAGACTCTTTAAAGTTAGACGACACTACACTGATATACACTGAACATCAGCAGGAGAGGACTCTTTAAAGTAGACACTACATACTGATATACACCGACATCAGCAGGAGAGGACTCTTTAAAGTAGAGACACTACATACTGATATACACCTGAACATCAGCAGGAGGGAGGACTCTTTAAGTAGAGACACACATACTGATATACACCTGACATCAGCAGGAGAGGACTCTTTAAAGTAGAGACACTACATACTGATATACACCTGAACATCAGCAGGAGAGGACTCTTTAAAGTAGACATACATACTGATATACACCTGACATCAGCAGGAGAGGACCTTAAAGTAGAGACACTACATACTGATATACACCTGAACATCAGCAGGAGAGGACTCTTTAAAGTAGAGACAACACACTGATATACACCTGAACATCAGCAGGAGAGGACTCTTTAAAGTAGAGACATACTACTGATATCACCTGAACATCAGCAGGAGAGGACTCTTTAAAGTAGAGACACACACTGAGATACATGAACCTCAGCAGGAGAGGACTCTTTAAAGTAGAGACACACATACTGAATACACCTGAACATCAGCAGGAGAGGAACTCTTTAAGTAGAGACCTAATACTGATATACACCTGAAATCAGCAGGAGAGGACTCTTTAAAGTAGAGACATACTGATATACACTGAACATCAGCAGGAGGGACTCTTTAAGTAGAGACACTACATACTGATATACCTGAACATCAGCAGGAGAGGACTCTTTAAAGTAGAGACACTACAGATATACACCTGAACATCAGCAGGAGAGGACTCTTTCAAGTAGAGACACTACATACTGATATACACCTGAACATCAGCAGGAGAGGACTCTTTAAAGTAGAGACACTACATACTGATATACACCTGAACATCAGCAGGAGAGGACTCTTTAAAAGTAGAGACACCACATACTGATTACAATCTGAACATCAGCAGGAGAGGACTCTTTAAAGTAGAGACACTACATACTGATATACACCTGACATCAGCAGGAGAGGATTCTGTAAAGTGAGAGACACTACATACTGATATACACCTGAACATCAGCATGAGAGGACTCTTTAAAGTAGAGACACTACATTCTGATATACAACCCTGAACATCAGCAGGAGAGGACTCTTTAAAGATAGAGACACTACATACTGATATACACCTGAACTCAGCAGGAGAGGACTCTTTTAAAGTAGAGACACTACATACTGATATACACCTGAACATCAGCAGGAGAGGACTCTGTAAAGTAGATACACTACATACTGATATACACCTGATAGACATCAACAGGAGTAGGACTCTTTAAAGTAGAGACACTACATACTGATATACACCTGGGACATCAGCAGGAGAGGACTCTTTAAAAGTAGAGACACTACATACTGATATACACCTGAACATCAGCAGGAGAGGACTCTTTAAAGTAGAAGAGACACTACATATGATATACACCTGGACATCAGCAGGAGAGGACTCTTTAAAGTAGACGACCACTACATACTGATATACACCTGAACATCAGCAGGAGAGGACTCTTTAAAGTAGAGACACTACATACTGATATACACCTGAACATCAGCAGGAGAGGACTCTTTAAAGTAGAGACACTACATACTTATACACCTGAACATCAGCAGGAGAGGACTCTTTAAAGTAGAGACACAAATACTGATGTACACCTGAACATCAGCAGGAGAGGACTCTTTAAAGTAGAGACACTACATACTGATATACACCTGAACATCAGCAGGAGAGGACTCTTTAAAGTAGAGACACTACATACTGATATACACCTGAACATTAGCAGGAGAGGACTCTTTAATGTAGAGACACTTCATACTGATATACACCTGAACATTAGCAGGATATAACTCTTTAAAGTAGAGACACTACATACTGATATGCACCTGAACATCAGCAGGAGAGGACTCTTTAAAGTAGAGACACTACATACTGATACACCTGAACATCAGCAGGAGAGGACTCTTTAAAGTAGAGACACTACATACTGATATACACCTGAACATCAGCAGGAGAGGACTCTTTAAAGTAGAGACACTACATACTTATACACCTGGACATCAGCAGGAGAGGAACTCTTTAAAGTAGACGCACCACATACTGATATACACCTGAACATCAGCAGGGGAGGACTCTTTAAAGTAGAAGAGACACTACATACTGATATACACCTGAACATCAGCAGGAGAGGACTCTTTAAGTAGAGACACCACATACTGATATACATCTGAACATCAGCAGGAAAGAGGACTCTTTAAAGTAGAGACACTACATACTGATATACACCTGAACATCAGCAGGATATAACTCTTTAAAGTAGAGAGACACTACATACTGATATACACCTGAACATCAGCAGGAGAGGACTCTTTAAAGTAGAGACACTACATACTGATACACCTGAACATCGCAGGAGAGGACTCTTTAAAGTAGAGACACTACATACTGATATACACCTGAACATCAGCAGGAGAGGACTCTTTAAAGTAGAGACACTACATACTGATATACACCTGAACATCAGCAGGAGAGGACTCTTTAAAGTAGAGACACTACATACTGATATACACCTGAACATCAGCAGGAGATGAATGTGCCCTCATCTTCTACAATAGTTTATCAGTTTGGTAGGAAAATATCACTCGACACCGGGTTGAGAATTAATAATCAGGTACTAATTTATTCTTGCAAGAAGGAGCAGAGTTCCGTCACATACAAAGGATATGGTTTAACTTACACACGTTGCTGAACGGAGCAGGAAAAAACATCAGGCTTATATAGTCCAAAACACGGAGATAACAACAAAGTCGTAAATCGAGGTGGCGCTAATATCATCCGCGGGTGTCGGAAAGGTGTCAGGAACATCTGCGACGTCTTCTGGAAAGAGTCACGTACATCCTTCACATAAGTGGGATATTTAGGAGACAACAAGTATGTAGGCTTGTTTGAGACACATTGCGGCTCGCCTCGAAAGTAGACGAGAGTAGCCGATCGCAGCCGGGGGAGGTGTCAAAAAGCTCGTCTGAAGTCGGACAGCTCGGAGTCCATGCTCGGAGTCGGCTTCGTCTTCTTCTTCTTCTCTCGGTTTTTTGGCGGATTGCAAACAGCTTGAAGGTGCATACCGCCACCTCCGGAGTCGGCTTGACTCGGTTTGCATTTATAAAGAATGCACACATGTGTTTAATCGTTAATGTCAGATATGTACTAAGTAAATACATTTGTTCCTGCTCCAGATTAGATTCAACTTTATTGTTATTGCACATATTACAGGTACTGAGACAACGAAATGCAGTTTAGCTTCTAACCAGGTACAACAAGCAGTAAAGTGAAAAGTAATGTACACAATCTACAGAATAAAATATAGAATGAATTGAATGATGAATAAACAGTGAGGGGTATGAATACACTAGATATCAGCCTGTGAGCAGTATGAACAGTGTGTATGAATATATGCTAAGATATATAAAGTATGAAAACGGTAAGCAGTATAGTATAAAATATATAGATATTAATTTCATGATGATAAACATTGTGGAACAATGATGAAAAATGGGAATGGATGTGGCGACGTAAAACTGACACAAAACAACAACAAACTTTTGCCAGCCAATTGGAGAGTTTCATCAGCAGCACGGTAAAAACCACCAATGAGCGCTCAGCTCGAGATACCAGCGAGCCGTTTCCCATCAAGCATTTCGCTTCCGCAGCCCGTGGAGAGCAACTGCGCCAACTCGCCTCGCCTCGCTCTCAAGGCTGCGGGCGTCTTTGTCCCGCGAAATTTCAAAGTCTCATGTGGGCGGGCCTCCAGAGCAAGTCGGACAAAATGACTAACCATCATGCAACGCACGAGCAAGACGTTGATCGCAACTGCGCAGGTCTGCGCAGGTCTTGCTTGTCTCAAACAAGCCTAGTGTCTTCTCATAAATATCAACAACCGGAAATGCCCTGCCTCCTCCTATCACAAGAAGAGGCAGCTGCAAGGTCATACACAGTGCAGAGTCACACATAGTAGGCTTGTTTGAGACAAGCAAGACCTGCGCAGTTGCGATCAACGTCTTGCTCGTGCGTTGCATGATGGTTAGTCATTTTGTCCGACTTGCTCTGGAGGCCCGCCCACATGAGACTTTGAAATTTCGCGGGACAAAGACGCCCGCAGCCTTGAGAGCGAGGCGAGGCGAGTCGGCGCAGTTGCTCTCCACGGGCTGCGGAAGCGAAATGCTTGATGGGAAACGCTCGCTGGTATCTCGAGCTGAGCGCTCATTGGTGGTTTTTACCACGTGTGCTGATGATGAAACTCTCCAATTGGCTGGCAAAAGTTTGTTGTTGTTTTGTGTCAGTTTTACGTCGCCACATCCATTCCCATTTTTCATCATTGTTCCACAATGTTTATCATCATGAAATTAATATCCATATATTTTATACTATACTGCTTACCGTTTTCATACTTTATATATCTTAGCATATTCATACACACTGTTCATACTGCTCTCAGGCTGCTGTGTATATCTAGTGTATTCATACCCCTCACTGTTTATTCATCATTCAATTCATTCTATATGTTATTCTGTAGATTGTGTACATTACTTTTCACTTTACTGCTTGTTGCACCTGGTTAGAAGCTAAACTGCATTTCGTTGTCTCAGTACCTGTAATATGTGCAATAACAATAAAGTTGAATCTAATCTGGAGCAGGAACAAATGTATTTACTTAGTACATATCTGACATTAACGATTAAACACATGTGTGCATTCTTTATAAATGCAAACCGAGTCAAGCCGACTCCGGAGGTGGCGGTATGCACCTTAAAGTTGTTTGCAATCCGCCAAAAAACCGAGAGAAGAAGAAGAAGACGAAGCCGACTCCGGGCTGCTTCTCAGGTCGATTAAATGAAATCCTTGCTTCCCTCACTTGCGTCGTTTCCCTGCGTTTAGTCCCTCCCACCAGGGAAGCATGGAGGGACGCAAGGAAACCACGAGAAGCAGGGAAATGAGTTTTAAGAGCAATGGGACGTCCTTTCCTCCGGAGCGTCACGTGAAGCGACGTCCGTTTGTGATGACGCTGCACAGCTGATCGTCTGACAGCAGCTCTGTCCCGTTATTTCCACAACACCCCCGCCTCTGTTAGTGCACATTTACTGACATAAACATTGTATCATCTGTTGTAGACCCCAATACATAAATCAAATAAGAAGTCATTCTCAAAAAAGATAAACGCCATTCTTAAAATGTAAAACGAAAAAAGCGATCATGAAAATGTTTCCAATAAATGAAAAAAAATTTTGACCACTTTGTTGTTTAGATATATCACATATTTGTAACTAAATGATACATGAATTGAAACAAAACACAGTATAAACTGAGGAGTGAGTCCCGTGAGGTTCATGTATTTTCTTCACTCCGCTGGGGTATTGCTCTCATGTCAAGAAGCATCAGATCAGTGCATGCACTGCCTCGTCCAATCAGTGAGCGATACACAGTAAGGGGGCGGGGTGAGTATCTGAGGATTTCATCGGAGGATGGTCTGGTGGTTCCTCGGTTAACGCTCCTCCATGATCGCTCCTCGCTCCTCGCTCCTCGATCCTCGGTCCTCCGGCAGAAATAAGAGCCATGGGACGGTACTCAAGATGGCGCAGGCAAATCAACTTCCGGTGAGACCGAGGACCGAGGAGCGAGGAAATGAAAATAGTCGACCTGAGAAGCAGCCCGAGCATGGACTCCGAGCTGTCCGACTTCAGGCGAGCTTTTTGAGACCTCCCCCGGCTGCGATCGGCTATTCTCGTCTACTTTCGAGGCGAGCCGCAACGCGTCTCAAACAAGCCTAGTATCAGTGCATTGAAACCACCCATACAGAGGAGACAACAGTATTTTCTCCAACACAGTTTTAGCGAGATTAGCTTTAAAGTCAACAACGAGAATTCACTGTTTTGATCTGTTGACACTACTCAGCTTCTTGCTAACTTTTACGTATTCAACCCGACTGATCATAAAAATAGATAAATGTGTGTCTATAGATCACTCAGATGTATTGCTACAGCTTGTCTTTAAACGCAACGCGCTCTGATGATGAACGACCGTCCACTCCCAGAAGCCTCCTGGATGCTACGAAGCTAATCATGCTAATAGGTTCAAGGTTCTTTATTTATAACAACTCAATGTTAGAAAAACATATTGTGTCGAGTTGAGAGGTCAAAGGTCGGCTGTCTTTTGGACTGGTGACAAATGTCTTCGGACACGCCTCCGCCCACCACACACACACACACACACACACACACACACACACACACACACGCACACACACACACACACACACACACACACACACACACACACACACACACACACACCAGCCATAAGACTGTTAAACACCTGAACTTTTGAAAGAACATCCATAACATGCATCTGTTTGCAACATATATGCATATTCCAATTACTTGTATAGAAACTATTCTGCACTATTTCGACTATATTTTTATTTACCTGCACTATTTGATCTGTTTTATTGTGTCGCACTGTTGGAGGAGCCTGGTACCTAAGATTTTCTTTGTCATAACTATACTGTAGCTATGTACACATGACCATAAAAGCCTTGAATCTTGAACACACACACACATAACCACACACACCACACTTAATCACTACGGCTGGTTAAGGAAGTCAGACGGAAACGCTCGGCTGCTTTAAAATGTATTCATTACATTTAGTATTCATGGGAGTAGCGTATCTTTGTCTGACGGGGGGGGGGGGGGGTGTCGGAGGTTACGGGGGGGGGGGCGTCTCATTCTAAACAAAGAGACACAAAAGAGAGGACACCTGTTTCCATCAGGACTGAGGTCGTCTGTGTGGTTTTGGCTGAAGTCATTTGAGGACATTCTTAAGGAATTGTGACAACAACGAAAAATGTTCAAGGATTTTTATTTTTTATTTAGCCTGTTTGAAACCAGTTTGGTTTACTATCCTCATTTATCAGGTTATAGATGGATTTCAACAGTCAGCTTTTCACACAATACTGAGACAATTATTTGGACAAAAGCTTTTGTAACAAAACAACATTTTTTAATAGCACTTTAAACGTCACAGAAAACCAACACAAAAAAAGGAATTAAGACAAAACATTTTTTGAAGGAGAATACTTTTTGACACTTTATACCCCAAGAGGAAATTATTGTGCTCTGCTTTCAACATAGTCTTTAATTCCACTTAACACAATTCCTTCAACAAACTAAAATCATCAATGTTTATTTATATAGCCCCAATATCACAAATGTTACCTTTGTCTCAGTGGACTTCACAGTGTGTACAGAATATCAGTATGACAATTACAAACACCCTCTGTCCTTAGACCACTCTGTCCTTAGACCCTCGTTCCTCAGACCCTCACATCGTACAAGGAAACACTTTCCGGAGAAAACCCACCAGTTTAAAGGGAACATGGGAGAAACCTCAGGGAGAGCAACAGAGGAGGGATCCCTCTCCCAGGACGGACAGACGTGCAATAGATGCCGTGTGTAAATCGAAGAGATAATACATGTTTACAGCATATAGACCGAATGTTAGGAAATGCATGTGCTGTAATAAGAATGATGAATCCACGAGGATTGTCAACAATCCTGTGGAAGCCATCAGGGAGGCAGCATGATGATATATGATAAAACAGGTCTGCTAAGTAATGTTGTATCTCCTAGTGCAGGCATCCTCAAAGTCCGGACTCTGGTCCGGATCCGGACCGAACCACAACTGTCTCTGGACTCTGAGCAAATTATACTTTTCATATGTATTATCTGTATGTCTGTGTTATCTGCGAGACATCGCCACAACGCAAGCGAGTCAAAATGATCCGCTGACTGCAAACAGCGCTCTGCATGTCCTGTTCCACTGTCTGTGTGTGTCTGTCAACGCATTGGTCCAATCACATTCAGCATCCCGTCAG